ACATCCCAATTGCAGTGACGTAAGCTCTCTGGGCCTGAAGGAAAGCAGCCCTACGGATCTTTGAATCCATCTGATGTTTCATGCATGGAGTTTGTACCTTGATTTGTCTTATCTTCCCTGGCTATCCCCGTGCAGACAATCAAGAAGAATTCAGCTTGGCTTCAGTTTAAGTAAGTTTTGGAAGGAGTTGCTGGAAGACTTGGAAAGAAAATGATGCTGTTGCTTGGTTACCTGCTGAGCTGGCCTTGTTGTCACTTGTAGCCATCTTGCTAAGAAGCCACAAGAGGCCTCTTGTGTGGTCACTACACGAAAACATATTCTTCCAAATAATCACTAGCATCAATATTGTGACCACTCTGAACTTGCTCAAGACTTGCAAATTTGGTTGAGCCTCACTAGCTTGGCTAATGGAAACAGCCACAAGCACCTCCAGTTTTGAAGTGTGGAAGGGATTTGTCACCGCAGTTTATTTTTGTTCCATCAAAAAGTCCTGATGACAGGAAAGGTGAACATCTGTGGAGGTATAGGGCTCTGGGAACGTGGCTATGACACCAGGTACATGGTTATTGCTTGAGGATTTCCTTTCTGCCTCAGTTTCCTCCTTGAGAAGTGGTCTTCCACAGCTGGTGGGGTTCTGGTTAAATACCCCCTTCTTTTCTTTGCTGAAAAGCGTCTGTAGGGCAGCTCCTCCCTGGCAGGCAAGAGTCCCAGGCTGGGACCTTGCCCACAGTTGCAAAAGAGGATGCAGCTGTGGTAGGAGAGTCCACCCTGCCCAGGACGCAGCCCCATGCATGGCAATGAATCAATGCTACACACGCAAAGATCCTCGACCACAATGGGTGATGCAAGAAGGCAAGCAGGGCAGTGCTGGGGACCAAGAGAAGGAGCGGAGGGAGGGAGACTGCAACAGAGGGGATAAGCCCAAGTGTCACCCAGGCAGGAACGATTCCTTCCTGATCCTGAAAGAATCAGCATCCCCAAAATGTTCCCAGTAAAAAAACAGGCTTAGTGAGCTCACTGCCCCCTTCTTTCCAAAAACCCGCCCAGAAGGGCCTATTGGTGAAGGAAGGGAGAGACCGTGGTGGGACACGGTGTGAGCTGTTAAGGTACAGGAGTCAGGATCCCTCCTGGGCGTACAGCCATTGGCTTCATGTTATTCGGGACAGGTTCTTAGGGAAAAATTAGAGGCAAGTGTGGCCCTTTATCTTCATCCTAGGTTCTGACAGACTTCTTGTTCACTTAATATGTGGTGAACAGGGTGACGGGACAGTCTCAGAACCACGTTTTTCAGTCTGTGCTGGAGGTACCCAGAGCATTTGTAAGTGTAAAAGAAAAGAGAGATGGAGCAAGCGAGCCAATGTCACCACATTGGTTGAGGGCCACCATGGGCAGGAGCACATCACTGTACCCACAGCAATGGGGAGTACCCTCAAGAGGAACAAGTCTATTTGCTGGTGAAGCCGAACGGACATAAAATTTCCCTCGGTTATATGGGTGTTTTTTCTGTATAAACTTGCTAATTGAGTTGTAAAATAAAACTGCAGCCTTTCCTCTCCAATTTCTGCTGCTGCAGCAGCGTGCTAATTTGGTTTTGGAAGGGGGCTGGTAGAAGGTGGCTCTTTGCCAGCGTGAAATTATGCACAAAAGGTTTGCACTGGGAGAGAAGGGAGCCTGTCCTCAGAGCGGGGAAGCGCTGGGGGCAGGAGCTGCTGCGCCGCTGTGCAGGGCTGGGGCAGCCTGGGAAGGTCCTGCAGCTGGGCTGGGCTGGGCTGATGGAAATTCAAGAAAGCCCAAAAGGGTTTAGACGGAGCTGCAATGGAGAACAGATGGGAAACCCTGGGCTTGTGCACCTCGGTAGACGCTGTGCGGTTGAGAGGATGGGCTGCGGGATTTCACGTCTTCCCTCCGGCACAGCCAGGCAGGATTTGCTTCTTGGGTCTGCGTACCCGTGTGTGTGTGCCAGCTGGAGCGGGCATGCGCGCCTTGTGCGCGCAGACATGTTGTACGTGTCGCTTGGGGTTGTGTGGCTATGTGCGTGCCTGTGTTTGGGTCTCCATACAGATGGTGAGGACAGGGATCTGGCTCTCATCACCCAGCAGCACATGGCTCCACCACGGGTGCGGCGGTGCACGGGGACGAGGATGGTGTGGGGTGAACTGTCACGGAGGAACCTATCAGCTGTGCTGGCTTGCACCAAGCAGGGATTTGGTCCTGCTGCCCACACTGGGGGCTGAGAAGAGGACTGATCTGGGGGTGAAAAAGTTGGGGGGAAAGAAAAATCAGAGGGCGCAGCCTGGCTGTCTGTTCCATCAATGTAATTTTAATTTTTAAAAGATATATGGAAAAAATGCAGTGACAGTTCCAGTCCCTGGCAATTTGGAGAAGCCTGGGGTTCCTCACGTGTGGCAAGTACACACACCCCAACATGCAGGAGGATGTACAGACCCGGGTGGCCCAGGGCAGGGCCCGCACTCACCATTTTTGTACCTTTCACTGTTTCCCTTGAAAGTTGCTGCGTGAGAGGAATCCAGGCAGGATGCTCCAGACACCACTGCAAGAAGCCCAGAGGTTTATAGACAGACTTGTCTGCCCATTTTCTAAAGCTCGGGCAGTCCTTCCCGTCACATCATCCTTCCGTCCTTCTGCTGACCCCTTTGGTCCCTTCCTGGGCAGCACCGGGAAGGGAGCGCTGCCGTACCGCGCAACGGGGGCATCAGGACCACAGTCCGGTCTGCGGGTGGAGGTGGGATTGGGAGGTGCAGGACAGGACAGGGTTTTTCAGCCTTTCCAACTTTGGGAAGGGCCACCCTAAGCGCTTAGCCCTGCTGCTGCCTGCCCCGGTGCTGTGAGGGCACCCAGCTGGGGTCCCAGCACCCTGCCCAGGGGGGAGTGGGGCACCGGGGGGTGGGAAGTCTTGCCGGATGCTTTTTTTGAAGTGACCTGTAGCATCTAAACAGCATCATGCTGGTTTTAATAGGGGGCTGGCAGAAGCAAAACAGATAATGAAGCCTTCCTCTGCTGGCCCTTCCTCTGCCTCCTGCCCCAGCCGGGTGAGGGCTCCCGGTGGTCACTAACTGCTGGGCGGGTGGTGCCAACGGCACCCGTGCAAGGCCCCGTGCAAACCGGGCGAAGCGTGCAAACGCCGTGCAAGCCGCGCAAACACCATGCAAGCGCCATGTGAACCGCGCGAACCGTACAAACGCCACGCCAAGGTGCCGTGCGAGGTGTGCGAGGTGTGCGAACGCCTTCGGGCCGGGCCATCCCACACCGCGTGGGACGGGGATTTCTCGGGACATCGCCACGGGAGCTGCCTCTGTTGCTTTGCGCTGTGTGTACGTACCGAGCAAATCTGCTGGTTGGCATTAGAAACTCGCTCGCGATACTGTGACAAAGCACCTGTAAAATTACAGCAGAAAGAAATCCGAGAGGCTGCAGTGACAAATGCTCGTGAGAAGCGATTGTTTGGGGGGGAGAGGGAAAAAAAAGCCGTGTTTGTTTTGGCAAAACACCTACATTCCTTCAAATAAATCATCGCAGCACTTGTTTTTGTATTTGCGGAGAAATCGCAACAGACATAACCAGGGACTTAAGAGACTTGAAATAACATCCTAGTAAATACCCCACTTTGTTATTTTAATCGAGACCCAAGGAAACATCTGAATTTTACCAAGGAAACCCTCCGTGCAAGGGAAAACATTAGCCCGCAGCCCGGCCGGGGCTTTGTTTTGCTCCGGTGTCGGTCTCCCGAGGCGGAATTACCGGGGCTGG